CTTTTTAGGTCTGGGAACACTCAAACACTCTTCCATAAATATATAAATGACTGATAATTGCTTCTTTGCTTTATACCAGTTCGGCTTAAGAAAGGCGTCACAGGAATATTTTACTTTCTGCAGCTGGGGCAGACCTGTATTCCAGAAAAGGAGCATGAGAATGGAAGGCAGTTCCATCTGCAAATAGTTCTACCCTCCTAAGTACAGAGAACATCATGGGCATAAAACACTTTTTATTAACAGCAAGCCAATGTTCATACTTAGGACTTTTTCAGATTAGAAATATCTATTCCCTCAGGTTAACAAATGCCATCCCCCAAGGACTCAGAATATTCTTAAGAATTCTGGATATGCAAAGCAATAATTTTCAGGCTAAATCTTCTGACAATAGGTTCCTCCATATCTAAAGCAATCCATTATTTTTTATGTCATTCTGAGACCAGAATTTAGTCCCAAGTCACTCCACAGGGTAGATACTGAAATCACAAGTTATGAAATACAGTTCTCCAGGCAGTTGTTGGGTGTGAAACCCTCTAATTGAACAACTTCCCGTAATAAAACAGAAAGCAATACCCTGCAAGGTTTTGAGGAGAGAATAGCTGAAGAAGAAATCTCTTGATAGAAAGGAAAGGCGGCTAAGGGCCCTGTGTCTTTTCTCTGTCTTTCAATATGTAGACCCCGGGGGTACAGTGTTCTTCCTTTAGGATTTCAGCTCAATTGCGAGCCACAGCAAAATCTATTTCCTATTGCATATAGCTCAACTACAACATACTTGAAAAGAAACTATATTAAAATGAAGAAACAAAAAAATAAATGAAAACAGTATTCTAAGTAACCAAGCTTATGAGTATAGGTTTCTGAACTGCAGTTAACTAACTCATTTGCTAACACGTTTTTTCTTTTTTTTTTTTCAACATATAACCTTCACAACTGTTATCTTGTCTTACTATTGCTCGGCACTTATGTAATCTATCCTGGCTCGTTTGTCAATAAGTACTTTCTTTATTAAACTCAAACCTTTTCATTGATTTTTGGTGCCAAAAGTTCTCCTACTCAGTTATAATGTCTTGTCTGAAAATTGACTCATCCTTTCCCAACTCATTCTATTAGATGACTCATTGTGATGCTGTATTAACAGTTCCTTCTCCAGTCACCCATCCCCAACTCCAAAACACTGAAAGGGAAGGGACATTTTCGTGCACCTATTATGGGACATGTGAAATATCCAGAGAATGTTTTTTAAAATGTTTGTGTCTCTTAAGTCAACTTCCCATAGGCGGGGCCTCATCCAGGTTTGCAGGGAAGCAAAGGGAGCTTTCATATTTTCGGAACCTTCCTATTTTCCACACTTTCTTAAAATGTTTTAGAAATAATTGTCTTATATCCTGGCTACAATCCCTCCCTTTTTTTAAGATTTATTTATTTATACAGAACTGGGGTACAGGCCAGAGATGCAGAGGGTGAGAGGCTTCACCAGAGACAGAGTGGGAAGCAGAACAGGCAGATCGAGGAAGCATACTGCTGAGGGGAGCAGCGGGCGGGCCAGGAGAGGTCTGCCACGCCATGTGGGTCACCTCTGGGGCAGGCGGGGATCAAACTCATGCGGAAGTGGCTTCAGCTTCTTAGTTCAGTGCTTAACCCGCTGCGCCACCAGGGAGGGCCTACAATCCCCTTTTTTAATCAATGGTGAGAAAGGTTTGTGTTTACTCCTTTCCCTAATATACTGCACAGAGCTACACATGCCACTTAATATTCTGGGCACTCTGTCTGCTGTTTGTATGGCTCTGCTCTCAGTCCCAAAGTCTTGCTTACTGGCTTTGTGCTGCTGCTTTGGTCTCCATGGGCTTCTATGACTTGCAGGGCCATGGGAAATTTAAACAATTAGGAAGAAAAAGTTTATTTCCTGATTGGGGGGGTTACTTGAAAATAAATCCCTCTGGGGTGGGAATACATATAGCACAGTACATTCTCTGTAACATTAAATATACGCCTCACTCCCTTCCACTCCTCTCCTCCCCACCTGGCCCCATATTCATGTTCATTCTCCATCTAGGTGCTGGATAAATGTTGCCTCAATCTTCAAACCAATCCTAAAATGAGAAATGATCTCTCAAATATATACAATCGAGGGTACATACACCACCTGTTTCCAAAGGCTAGGATTCTACCACTTCATTTTGTCCCTAGAGTTAGCGTTCTCCCCAATAAAATTGAAAACATTTTTCATTGTTTTATTGTTAAAAGCAGAAACAGGGCCCTCCCTGGTGGTGCAATGGGTTGGGAGCAGCACTGCAAGCTAGCCACAATCATTTCAGTGCAAGCTCGATCCCTGGCCCCAGAGGTGATCCACATAGCGCAGCAGACCTCTCCTGACCTGCCCGCTGCTCCCCTCAGCAGTGTACTTCATTGATCTGCCTGTCTGCTCCCCGCTCCTGTCTCTGGTGAATCCTCTCTCTGTCACTGCCCCTCTGACTTGTAACTCAGCTCTGCATGCATAAATAAATAAATCTTTAAAAAAAAAAAGCAGAAACATTCATCTTTGTCTTTGGTCCCAATAGCTCTTGTTGATAACCTTTAGCCTAGCCCCAACTTCTCCATCACATTCAGGATTTTGTTTCTGATCCCACTTGTCTCATACACTGTTCGTAGGTCCCAGGCCAGCTGTCTGAATTTTATCTGGGTTTCTGATAGAAAACACCATCTTCTCATTTCTACAATAACACCCTCATTGGGCTATGATGAATAAATTTCTAATCCATTTTTTCATCTATCTAAATCCCCTCTGGGATTTTCTAGAAATTCTTCAAACTGTTTTGCTCACAATCAGCCTGGTTCCCCAGGGATACTATCGATTTTATTCGTGCTTTTACATCTCTTCAGTCAATTTATAATTGAACAATTGTAAATATTGTTTATCTTATTTACATATTACATTATTTGTTATGGAATTTCTTTCCCATGCCAATAAGCCAATGTAGTTAATTTTTTAAAAAATATGGTCCTGGTGTATATATTTGCAATAAATGAAAATTTTCTATGTATAACTTCATAATAAATGCAGCACATGTTTAGACAGAAAAACACAAATTAATTGAGGTGTGAAAGGGGGTTCATAGCAAAAGACATAAGAAAAACAAGACAGAAGTTCAGTATCATTGTTCCTTATGTTTGTAGCATAAGAATGTCTGCAGTAAAAACATATTGTATGCACTACACAGCCTCTTCTAATCTTCCTGTAACAGTTCAAAGGACTTGCTATGTTTGAGAGCTGACTTCCATGCTGCAAGTATTAACACTATACAGAAGAAGGTTTAGATATCTATACTATTCAGAGTACGGATTGCAGCTGCTAAATTTTACAAATAAATGACAGGTGTCCCTTTGTTGTAACCCAGAAATACTATTTTATGTTTCAATGATTTTCAACAACTACAGATATAAAAAGGTCATGAGAGGTATCTATCATGATATTCTTTAAAAACTATGTTTATAGGTTGTAAAATCAAATTATGATCTAAATAGCAAGATAGAATGTAAATAAGAAGTACAAAATATATGAAAATAAGTGTTCACTAGTATACAGTTAGGAAAACAACATTATAATTTTAGAAAAAAAATTGTGGAATTATCAAAGAGCATATTCAGTTACTCAGTTTTCTAATTCAAGTTACATCAGTTCTTTAGTTTTTGCTGTATCTTAGATACACTGAATTAGTCATTTTCTTAATCTGTTATAGACAGTGACTCTCAATTGAATAAACAAAGTCACTGGATTTTAAGGAACTGTTTCTTTGTTGATGCTGGTATTATTGCTTATAATGTGTCTCTTCCAAAGTAATGAAATATTTCTAGCAGTTTACACACTAAGGTGATGTCATCTGAAAGCTATAGTGCCTAGCATTAAATTATTTTGATTTTGTGAGATGACACATTATGTTTTCCAGCTACAGAAAAACTAAGACTATAGTCACTATTAAAAATACTTTATATTTCAAACTTTTATTGGTATAATTTCTGTACTTCTAAAACTTATCTCAATAATTTAAAATATTCAAAATGTTATGACTACTTACTGGTGCTCATTAATAACCTAACATTCTATTGTTTCTATTGCTTAGAACTCTTATTATGCCAGGCATTTGAAGCTCTCAGACTTTTGTTACTCAACAAATGTCCTTTTTACCATGCTGCAGCATGAATCTACCATTCTACTTAAAACATTTCACAGTACCACCCTGCTCATTCCTATCATTACTTTTTCATTTTGTTCTTCAAAATACTTCCTAAAATTGTATTATCTATTTATCAAAGCTCTACCTATTGTGATAATTCAAGATGATAATTCAAGATAATCTCTATCTAATTACTTATAAAGGAAAATTAGGATATCATCAAAAATATATTAAAATGTTAAGTGTAAAACTGAAAATATAACACAAGAAAATACATGTAAACATTTGAACAAAGAATAAGATCTAAGTATAAAATTCAAGAAATTATAAATGATTTGACTTTATAAAAGCTTTCATACATTAAAAACAACCTGAAATGACAATAATGATTTTTTTTTCAGATATTTCAGATAATATTTCAGAGATATTTAAGAGAAGGGTGTTTGTACCCAGAGAAATAAAAAGGTGTTACAAATAACAAACCAATAAAGGTTTTCTACAGGTTTATTTTCTAGGGTATATATGCATTCAGCTTTAGAATAACCAGTACTTGATTATTCTAGGATGGATACTTTAGAGAGATAGTTTAATAAGAGAGATATGTTTATTAAAAAACTTAAATCTTACCTAATTACAAAATGATTTCATGATCAACAGTATCAAATTTATAGTAGAAAAAATACTATTTAGATATCACAGGAGTGACAAACTTATCTAAACTTCCAAAAAAATGTTCACATAATGTACTAAAATTATAAAGTTATTAAAAGTCGTTTCACTAACAGTACACATTATAAAAAATTAAATGTTTTTTAAAGGCTCTTATTTTTACATTGTATACCCTGGAAGTTTATTTATTACTAATTCACAAATATCTTTGCATTGCTTGGAAATACTTAGTGAACCAACTTCATCTCCTTCTTCTTCAAAGTGTTCTGACATACTGCTATTCAGAACATTAAATTCTAGTTCAGACAAGTTAGATGGCAGATAAGAACTCACTTGAGATGTCCGGGGTGACTGGCTTTTTTCTAAAGATTTGTGACTAGTGCTTGTTTTAGCAGAGATGCTTTGACCCTTCTTTGTAACTTCAGAAACATGCATCCTCTTGTGCTCTATCTGGCTTTCTTTTTCCTCAGTCAAAAATGATGAAGATACATCACTGGAAGAGTTACTAGATGTTTCCTTTAAACTTTTATCTTGAGTCTTTGCATTATGTGATCTTTTATGTGAATGTATTGGTGATCCAGCTGAGAAAGGTGGGCTAAGAATAGAACTCTTTTCACTGCTACTTTTGTTAACAGACAATCTTGTTTCACTAGACTTACTTATATGTTGACCATGCTTTGGATTTTCTGCTCCTGGACTGCTATCACGAGTGTGCAAGATTCTGCTGGTGTCCTCAGTGGTATAAAAATCTTCAGAATAGCAAGTACTGGCAAAGTCATCTGAATATTTTAGTTCTGAGATGCTTTCAGAGGAACTATTTTTACTTGGCTTATTTTCATTCACATCAGCAGTAAGAATGTCCTTATCAGTGGTTTGCACTTGCTTATCACCTATTTCTTTATCTACTACAGTACTGTTACTGTCAACCAATACAACCTGTTGGAAAACACATGGCCTTTGGTCCTGCATTTCCACTTTTCTTTCCAAAATATTTACATGACTAAACCTTTCTGGGTCAATGAAATGTGCATGACTAATCATTTCTTCCAAGGAACCATTATTGATTATGTTTTCACCACAGCCAACCACCTTTTCAGTTGCACAGTTCAGATTCGTTTCTTTAGTTATAGTGGGGTTGTCAAAAATCCCATTCATCTGTTTTGAGGTATCACTGTTTTCAGCAAAGGATACATCTGATTCTAAATGTTTATCTTTAGACAGCTGATGGGGCTTCTCATGCTGTTTTGCAAAGCTGAACACTTTAACTTTGGATGAGTGCATTCTGAGTTTTGGACCCATCATTTGTGCTTGCATTTTCCTATACTGTTCTCTCTTTTCATGTACTGCCAACAGGTCAGGATTTGTCTGCTTTAAACGCAACTTTAGTGTGTTTGTTAAGCCATAAAGTAGCTTACCCCGTGGAGCTCTTTTAGGGGGTGTACCACTGTTCTTTTCAAAACATTTATCTTTCTTTAGACTTTCAACTTGGTATTTTGGATACTGAAGCAATGCTGACTTTTCATTTTCCCCTGCAGAAAGCTTATCTTTCTTAGATTCAGATTTAAATGTGGATTTTGCTGAAGATTCTGATGACTTCTTATCCTCAGTTCTATATAACCATGCTAAGTGAGGATGTATATGAGTAGGTCTTGCTACCGGTTGATTGTATAACAAGGACAACTCCACCAACAAAGCATTTAACAAAGGCAGCTGACTTATCATATTAATTCTATTTTGTTCCGTTTGAGAGTGAGATGTAGCTTGATTACTTGCTCCCATATCCTGAATATGTGGAGGATTTATAACCTTTGGAGGACTCTTAGGTGGTATGGAATTTACATGATTTGGAGGATTAGTATGTGCTGGCTTTTCTCCCAGAAAGATACCATCCATTTCCTCAGGTTCGTTCATTTGAGGCTTAATGGTGATTTTACCTGGTACAGGAGGTATCGTTTCTTGGGTCAAATGAGTGTAATACAGAGGAGGAGGGCAAAATATGTTACTTTCAAGGTCCAACTCAGCAATTCCCTCATCTGAGGGACTAACACTCCTAACATTTCTGGCATCTGAACCAACAGAGTTAGTTTTGACACTCTCCACTGAACTTGCATTATCAGGGTTGACTTTACAACAACAGACTATTTCCTTCAAGTTCTTCTGGGCCTTTGGAATTTTTAAACCCACAAGAGACCTATCAGCATCTATTGGCCTTGGCTCTGTGGTTGGTTGCGGTAGTTGCTGTTTCTCCTGTTGGGTTTGGGAACTGGCCGCCACTGCCTTCTGCAATTCTACAGCTTCCAGTCCACCTACAGTGGATCTGAGTGGCCGTTCAAGATGGCCCAGCAAGCTGTTTCCCAGGTCAGTCAGGCGGTAACCCAGGGCAATATCCCCAATGTGCTCTCCCCTTTGGTTATGCAGAGGAAAACTTCCTCGATGACCCTGGGAACAGCCAGACCTGGCAGGTCCCAGGACTCTGTTGACAGCTGCGGCCAGTGAGATGGTGGAGGAACCCAGGAGCTGCGGGGTAGGAGTCGGGTCCCCGGGGGGCAGCTGCAGCAGCAAGGTGTAAAGTGGGGTCCGAAGGAGCAGGCGGTGCAGGGTGGCGGGGTGCAAGCGGAAGAGACACGACTTGCCGCGACCGAAGTTGAGCACCCCGGGTCGGGGTTCAGGGGCCGGGGAGGCCGGGCCTCCAGGAGGGTAAACCAGCAGCGTGGGGAAGTCCAGCAGACGGAAGGCGACCGCCGGGCACAGGGAGCTGGACCAACGCGGGGCTGATCCCTCCTCCTCCTCGTCCACTGAGACCACCCGCTGTGGAAGCAGCCCGGCTTCAAGACGCACCCAGTCAACGAGCAGCTCCAGCGAAAAAAGCCGCTCGGACCACACAGCCGCCATTTCGGTTGCCCGGGAGATGATGCCGCGTACTCCGCGAGCGGGAGTCCGAAGGGATTGGTTCTCGCGAGAGCTAGGGGCGGTGCGGTGCGCCTGTTCTCTCGCGAGACTCTGGTGGCGCCAGTGCGGGCTGGGCGGTGCGCAGCCCGAAAGTTTTCGCTGCTGAGTGCGTTTTGCTTTACAACGGACTTTGTTTTGATCACTTAGTTAAAACAGCAGCAACAAAACTGCTGATTCGTGCAGTTTTGTGGTTAAGTCAAATATGAGAGCGCTTGCTAGTACATCAATGTTCACTTTTCAGACCCCAAGGTTTTTTAAATTTTAATATAATAATTTATTTTGCATCACCTTGTGCCTTTTCCCATCTCAGTTGTAAACCCCGTGAGTCAGACCCCAAGTTTTAAAAGAGTCAACTGCCCTTTCTCGGACTTAGAGCTGAATTCAGCTCTACCTAAATGGGGATGTCACTGCTCCAAAGAAGCCTGGAGTCTCGGTGAGTAACAGTAGCAATGAGAGGCAATGAGCGTGGCCACATGAGTAATGAGAGGCAATGAGCGTGGCCACATGAGTACGAACTTGCAGGTCAGAGAGTAAAGCTAGTGACTGCGAATATGTATGTACACATACACATACTTAGTAAGTATGGCTAGTATGTGTCACACAGAAGGGAAAAGGAGGGTGAGAAGATCTTAGAGCACTATCCCAAGTTTTCAACGAGGCATACATGCTCCTCACAGTAGTTAGAATGGAGTTTGGCTTTTTTTTTTTTTTTTAAGATTTATTTATTTGTGCATACAGAACTGGGGTACAGGCCAGAGGTGCAAGGGTGGTGAGAGGCTTCACCAGAGACAGAGTGGGGAAAAGAACAGGCAGATCCATGAAGTACACCGCTGAGGGGAGCAGCGGGCGGGTCAGGAGAGGTCTGCGGCTCCATTTGGTCACCTCCGGGGCAGGCGGGCATTGAACTCATGCGGAAGTGGCTGTGCTTTAACTCGCTGCGCCACCAGGGAGGGCCCTGGAATCTGGCTTTTTAAAGGCAGACAAGTTTATTGAAAGGTACCCAGCCAGGCTGGATCCACAGCTGATACATGGAGTCTTGAATGCCTTACTAAGGAATTTGGAACTTACTCTGTGTAAGTTATTTTAAACCAATAAGTGTCATCATGTTGTTAAGGGGAAGGATGCCCTCCCCCTGCAGAGTCTTAGGGACTCCACCCCCTACTCTACTTTCCGACACTATACCCTACTCCAGTGATTGGAAACTACAACTCCTGGCATTACCAGGGAGAGAATGGCGAGGACCCAAGGGCGGAGCTAGCAGGAATTCTGGGACATTTGGGGGATAAATAAGGTGTGATTACATCTCTTGCTCTCTCACTGGGGAAATGGCTCTCCAGATGCGTGACTTGGTGTGTTCAGTCACCCTAGAAGTAAGGTATTCCAGTTACTTTGTATCCTGCTCTCTTTCCCTGAGCTGTTTCCTATTCCTTTCCCCTTTTGTAAATAAACCCGTTATTGACCCTTTTGTGTGCACTTGCAGTATAACTGAATTGTGAGCACGTGGGTGAGGCCCCACAGACAGGCGGCCCAGTCCACTCTGGGCTACCTTGTAACAATGCAGTGAGAATACAAAGGATGAGTTCTATTAAGAAATAAATTCTAGAGCAATTTATTGGGAGGCAGTTGGAGTAGTCAAAGTGGGAGACAATGATGTCCTGAGGTAGCAGGATTAGTGGAGATGAAAAAGTAACAGGAGATACTTGTGATAGAGTAACAGAGAGGTTATTGTTGAAATTAAATGCTACTGAAGGAAGAAAATTTGAGGAGGCATAGATTTGATTTTTTGTTTTACTTTGGGTTTTTGGTTTTTATGTACAATATGAGATTCATGTCAGACATTGTATTTATATGTTCAACTTTAGAGACTTCCATAATTTATAGTTAGATTACACTACATTGAGGTATAAAAGAGTGTTATGGAGTTCAAGAGAAATTGAGAATTGAGTCTGGCACTTAAGTGTAAGGACAGGAGGGAGGTTTCATTGCAGTATATAAATAGAAGATACTACTCTTGGACATCGTGGACTTGAGAATCTTATTTTCTCTTTGCAGAGGAAACAATCTATTCAGTTATATCCTTAATGGATGGAGAACCAGGGCAATTTAAAAAACCAACATATTCACAAATGAAAAGCACTGAGCTAATGAGCTTATGTGTGCCAGACAAACTCTGTAGATAAAATTCTTCCTAGAAGGTCGACTGCAGTAAGCCTTTTAACTAAGGTCAGTGATGTGGACATATTAGTGCATAGCTCCTTCATATGGACAGAGAAACCAGTGTCCCTCATACATAGGGAAAGGTTTCTAATGGGATTAAAAAATTCTCTGCCCAGATACTCTGCAGGATCAGTATTACAATATAAGGATATTTTATAATTATAAATAATGTTAAATGTAACAAATAAAACTTACTTTGTACACATTTTAATGTGCAAAATCACACATGGAGAAATAGCACAAGACTGAGAATGAAAGCCGGGGTTCTAAAGGCAAACTTTCCAGCTTGAATCCTGGCTCTGTGACTGTGTAATATTTTCTTAACAATTTGTGAATTATTTTCCTCATCTAGACTATTTGGATACTTACTAGTTTGTGAATTATTTTCCTCATCCTACTGAAACTATGGATTGATGAACATTAATAGTTTTCAGATAAATCCACCATGAAAAGTTAAAAAGTTTGAATTTTACTGAGAACTTATTTGGGTGTTATTGTGAACTAGGGTATCAGCAGTGCGTATGATGAGAAAGGTAGGGACTCAAGACATATTTAGGCAAGAGACTCCACAGAATTGTTTGAATGTGCTGTGTGAGGGAATGGAAGATGAAGCCCAGGTTCCTACTCTAGGCAATTAGGTAGACAATTAATAAAAATAATGGTTTTCCTAATGATTGAACAGGAGGTGAGTTTCAGACCTCTATGTGGTCTCATCAGCACACAGATCCAAAGGAGTGGCTCCAGCAGATGGGTTGGTTTACAGGAGTTAGAACACATGGCAGCACTAACAACTATGAAATTCAGTGTCTGCTAGGTGAGTTTGCAGACATATCCATATAGGAAGGCCCAAATTTTATATATGAATCTGTAACTTAGAAGAACAATCTGGACTGGAAATATAAGTTTAGGAGACATTAAATAATGATGGTAATCTAATCTCCTTATATAAGACTTCAATAAGTATAGTGATGAGGTATTATTTTCTCCTTTTGTGCGTGTTATCATGGAACTATGTGTATTACAAATAATTTTCACCTGACTAATAATTGATTAGCAGGATCAGTTATGATGTTAACTGTCTTTTCTGTCTCTTAGAATAAAGGGAAACAAATGATGTCAGAATCCTTTAGCTAAGGTCATATAGCTAAAAGGCATGATGAGACCAATGCTTTTGAGAGGAACCTAGAACTGGCTTAATTGACTTAGTTGAACTGTGAGTCTGGCTTTGAAAGGCAGACCTCTGCCTTTCATAAGCACACAGATCCAAAGGAATGGCGCCAGCAGATGGGATGATTTAGCAGGAGTTGGAACACATGGCACTGGTGGACTTAAGTAGGGGAGCAGCATCATACACTGGATGGTTTGTTCTAGTTTGGAGCAGAAACATAGACATATGGGGAGAGAGAGCTCCTTGAAGAGTGTGGGAACTGGAAAAACTATATTGATGGCATGGCTCCAACTTGTTCTGTTCACCTTCAGAAAAGGGAATGTAGCTAAGATGCTGCTGAGGGAAGCGATGTAGCAACTGCTTTTGTAGACTGAACAAATATTGATTAGCTCAATGACCATGGAAACTCCAAGACTTATTCTGGAAGCACCAAATACAAAGTTCACACCCAATATGGTGGGTTTGGAGAAAGGCATTCTTCTGCCTAAATACTTTGTCAGGACTTTCTCTCTCTCTCTCTCTCTCTCTCTCTCTCTCTCTCTCTCTCTCTCTTTTTCTCTCTCTTTTAAGATTTATTTATTTGTGCATGCAGAATTGGGATATAGGCCAGAGGTGCAGAGGCAGTGAGAGTATTCACCACAGACAATGGGGAGCAGAACAGGCAGATCAATGAAGTACACTGCTGAGTGGAGCAGCGGGCAGGTCAGGAGAGGTCTGCTGTGCCATGCGGATCACCTTTAGGACCAGGGATCGAACTAGCACTGAAGTGGCCACGGCCAGCTTCGTGGTGTTGCACTCCAACCCACTGTGTCCTCAACTCATCTTTGACAAAGGGACAAGAGCAAGAGAATACAAGAAAGATAGTTTGTTTTTTTTTTAATAAATAGCCACATGCACCAGACAGTCCTTAAACTTTGCACAAAACTTAACTCAAAGGACTAAACATAAAACACTAAACTCTAAACCACCTCAAATAACATAGAAGAAAATCTAGATTATCTTGAGTTTGGGGATGAATTTTTAGATAAAACATGAAGGCTGCAATCCTTGATGTAAAAAATTGATAAGTCGAATTTTAGTTACATTAAAAGTCTCCACTGTGTAAAAGCATTGTCAAGATAATGAAAAGACAATCCACAGACTGGTAGAAAATGTTTGCAAAAGACAGAATGATAAAGAAGGATTACTCAAAATATTCAAATATCTCTTAAAATGCGATCAAAGGAAAACAAACAATCTGACTAGAAAATGGGCCAAAAATCTAACTAGACCAAAGAAGACAGGCAGACAGGTAATAAGCATGTGAAAAGATGCTCCAGAACTCATGTCATCAGGGAAGTGCAAAGTAAAATAGCAATGAGACACCACTGTACATAATAGAATGGCCAAACTCCAGGACACTGACAACATCAAAGTTGTAAAAAAGCTGAGTTAAAACCTTTTCCTCTCACTGTAGTTTAAAAGTCTCCAGTGAGTGCTTGTGCATGTGGTAAGGCAGGTCTGGGAACATTAACTGAAAATTGCTGGAGAGACAGACTGGGATTCCTGAAATGGTTCTCTGGCTTCTAGTTCCGCCCCCCACCCAAG